TTGAACTTTTGATTATATGTGTGTGCGCGCGCGCACTTGGCTGCTATTTGTTTGAACAGCTTGAGTTAGTGTTCTTGCCTTCAGTTGTAAGTTGCATTACTTGCGGCATAGGGTAAGTGCCGGTAGTGAAAGGAACTTGTGTTGGGCCTGCTTTGTTGTCCATGTTGCTTTAGTCTTTCAAAAGGAAAACTTCTGTTTTATTAGCAATTCTTGCTAAATTCCTAACGTTTAGATCTGTGCTTATTCTTCGAGGGTCAAAGCTGATGAGCATATTGTGCACTTATCTGAATGGGATTGTGGAAAATTAGACATTGTTTTTCTTATGATGGTCTTTCTTCAGGATTTATGAGGACATGAAAAAATCAATTATAGATAACAGAAAGTGCCATCCAGTTATGTTCTTATGATGGCCGACTGTGGTTGTTAGATTGTAGTAGAAAATGGCCACATTTTTTGAGAGGCAGCAAACTGTTATATGGGAGCTTTTCCAGCTTGTGCATCCCTTGGCGTGTCATTTCTGTTTGAACTCATGCAGATGCTCTGCTTTAGTCAGTGATTGCTAATTAATTTGTTCATGATTCATTTGTTTAGAGAGGGCATTCTATTGAAGAATTGAATGACTACCTTGAGTATCTTGTTTGTGTTGCCCAACTATGTCTTGGAAATTTGTATCTTTTGAGTATGTGGTTGAATGATTGCCTAATAACTCACTCTGTTTTCAGGTTTGCGAAAGCCCCAGATTCTGCTCGAATGGATTGGTCGTCGTTTACAAAAGGCTACTTTTTGAACAGAGAAACTCTGGTAGCTGTCCTGCTTCTCATTGATGCTAGCGTCCCTCCTCAAAAGATTGACCTGGATTGTGCTAATTGGCTTGGACGCAACAATGTAAGCTTCTCTTTAACTGTAAAGCTATCTTGATAATTTTCTGATGTGTATAACTAGGTTACCTGCATGATGCTATATCATGCTTTTCATTTCTGCCATTCCAATGTGTTTCAGATACCAATGACATTAGTTTTCACTAAGTGTGACAAAATGAAGGGGGGAAAGAGAACAAGGCCTGATGAGAATATCAAGAATTTTCAAGAGTTAATGAGGCAAAACTATAGGGAACATCCTGCATGGATCATGACTAGTAGCGTCACTGGTTTGGGCAGGGATGAGCTTCTCCTACACATGTCCCAGCTAAGAAACTACTGGGATCAATAGATTGAAAACAAATGTTGAAGTGTTGTGTAGAAATTTTCTTCCTTTTTTTTTGTATTCTCATTACTTGTCGATTTTGCCAATCAAAGTTATGATAAAAATCTAAGTAGGACCCGTAACATGCACTTGTGTTGGATGTAACATTCTTCATATGTACATAGATGAGTGAAGTCTTCTTGTTTTCCATGAGATCTTATCAATATCTGCTCTATGCTTAGATAGTTGGATTTTACGGTTTCAGCTGTACATTTTGACTGCAGAAACTTATGTTATCTTGATTTTCAATGCTTAATTTATGACTTGTTACATAATAAATGCCGAATGCTTATGTCTGGACAAACTGTGATGCTGTAGTCAAAGGTGGTTATTTTGAAGTTCAATGAACTTTGGTCCGAATTCTACAGGCATGGTCCTGTGATTTCCTTCATCTAGAGGAGGGTCACTTGAAGCACTCGCTGTCTCTCACACTCTTTAAGTTTGACCATGCTCATTTTTCTGTGTTGCACGAGATCTGAGGGCATCTTCAGTGCTGACAAATAACAATTTCCCGGTTGGTCTTTGAATGCATTTCCTGCCTTCTGTTGTCTACTTTGTCGAACAACTGACCTCCCAAGTAGGAATTCCTGTCACTTGCATTTCATGGTCAGACATCTTAAAAGTACTTGTTTTTCTTAAAAAAAAAAAAAAAAAAACTAATGAATCAGCAAGGATGTCAGCTACTTTTGGTGGGCATGCAATAGATCTCAACCTAAGATGTTGATCATTAACACTTCATGCATTTAAAAAGCAAGCTTTGAGCTTTGTATTTTCAGAAATAACGCACTGGGAAATGTTGAGTATAAGACGCAATGAATATAAGATCACAGACATCCATCCCCAGGCTGCTATAAGCAGGCGTGGGCCAAAGGTTCAGTAGGTTTAGGGATTTGCAGGGGAGTCCGGATATTAAGATCAACACATATTCTCTTTAAGCAACTTGCCGAGGCAATGTAAGACTTGTTTTCTTTGAGCTGGCTTCTGTTTAACATTCGAATATATGTGCCTGCCATTAAAAAACAACCATCTTTAGACATGTCTAGCCAGTGTTTTCACCAATAAGATTTGACTCGTAACTTACCTCATAAATTAAAGCGCTAGAGCTAGGTCAGATGGCCTGTCCAGATCAAACCATTTTCATTACATAAACCCACAGCTGCAACTAGTTATAATACTATAGACTTCCATCACCAAGCAATCAAATTTGGTCAGCATGACCACCCACCCAGCTAGTATGACAATCTCCTGAATCATGTATCCGATTTGATTTTGCCTTCTGCTGCTATCCTTTTTACACAGAGCCTTCATATTTGTTTCGGTCATAGTTTTGCCAAGCTGGTAAGGTTCTTCAGGACAACTTGCCTCCAACAAATTTGCTCTGTAGCAAATGTTTCTCCTTTGGAAGGTCGCCTAAGAAAATCCGGGGAAAATGGAAGCAATTACTAAAGGACAAAGATTGTTACTTGGAAGGAATTTACAAGACCAAATGCTGAGTGATCCAAAAGCTAAACTAATTCTCTTTTTTATTTTTTATTCGTTGTTAACTCTCGAATTTATTTATAATCCGAAGACAATTATGAACATGAATAGAATAATATAAATTATATTTTAAAATTTTACTAAATAGTTTAAATTTTTAAATTAAAATGTTTTTTTAACCATAACTAAGCAATTAAAAATAAAAGAGACAGCAAATATTCATGGCCAAATCAATAACAAAATAATCCCATATTTCTTTTTAAAAAAATTACAAAGGTCAAAACCACTTGCTGCTAGCTTCTCGAAGTCGCAAGAACATTATATTTTATTCTTTCCTTTTAACTTTTTGTTTTTCTCTTACCTCCATACTGTATACACATTCATATTTACATTCAAAATAAACCTGTGTTTCATGTTAAGGTGTGACTTATACAGTTTTAAAATCTAACGAGGAATCGACTTGAAGTAAAATTTTAGTTACGTGTCCGCAGGGTGGACTCTGATTTAAATATAAGAAACAAATTAAAATGGCTTTATTTTAACTAAATAATAAAAAAAATCAATAGAATAATTGGTGGATTTTGACCAAGTCAGCTATATATTTTTTTTTTCTAATTTTTTCAATTAAGATTGATTCAAACCCAAATCAATTTGATCCCGAATCAAGGTTGAGCTGGATTTTAAAATTACAGGTGGACTTAAAAAAGGATTATCCTTTGGATATAAATTGTACTTTCACATCAAATATCGGAGGTGGTCGAGATTTATGCTTTTGATGAATTAGCATTTTAAATTGGATATTTTCTAGAATGAGTTAATCTGATTTCTTTGTTTTTCCATTACAGAAAGAGTAATGTTATATATACAAACAAAACATTTACATAAAACTTTAATATAAACATATGTAATATTTACTATTTTCGTGAAAAATCAATCATTTAAATTCGTGAAATTAATCCCCACTTTATTTCTTATAGGTCCAGACTTCAATTTATATGAAAATCAAGTATGAAAAATTGTTTTATGCAATTTGTTTTCTAGAGATGACGTAATTTTAATTAAATTAGAGAGCCAGACCTTAGTCTATCACATGATTTCTTGGTTTTCTAATAAATTTGATGTGTTTGTATGAATAAATGACATGAACAGCCACCATTATTTTATTTAAAAAAATAAAATAAAATGTAGTTATCAATCTTCACCATGAAGTGATTCTTTTCAACACAAATCTCACCATTTATTCCATCGGGTCCATTCCCAATTAAATAGGATGGTCCACAATATAAGGAGAATATTATAAGCACACAAATATACGAATAAACAATACAAATATCTTGCTATAATCAAAGCGAAAGATACAACAAATTAAAAAACCATATATAAAACTCTAAAATCCGTTATAACACATATCTTCATGTGTTTAAATTACTAAAGAGTACATGATTAGGTGGTGGTTGAATATTGACTTAGGAATGGGGATAGTTGGACCTTACTTGAATTTGTTATATTTAAGGTTTAGAATTATTCTAGATATTATTTTATAAAATATTTTTTGTTTCAAAATATATTAAAATAATATATTTTTTATTTTTTAGAATTTATTATTAACATCATCATATCAAAACAATAAAAAAAAAAACTCAAAAGCTCAAATAAACTATAATATCAAACAGGACCTTTATAGTTTATATAATATTTATCAAGCTAGATGTATTGTACACTTGAGAAAATATGGTGGAATGCAGGCTCGCATGTATTTGTTGGATATACACGTGAATGATGGATATTCTAATCCATTAGGAGGAGGTAATAAAATGTTCTTAATTATGTGCAAAATGACCCAAAATCTAACAATTTAAGTTTACGAATAATAAGGTATGTAACTATGTCTTAAGCTCCAAGCTCCTTCAACAAATTTGTGCTCGTTTGTTTTGTGATAGTTTTTTTTAATTATTTTTTATAGTTTTTCTATATTGATATTGAATAAAAACAAAAACAAAAATATTATATTATCAATTGATTTTTTTATATTTTTTTTGAAAAGCACCATATGTACGAACATTACCAGAAACCTGCTATTTTAATGATCATTGAGTTCATCAAAGAATAGGGGGGAAAAATTAAAATTCCACATGTATGTCATAACTTTATATTGCTAAGAAGAGCCAATGAATTTCTTAAACACTTCAGTAACGACATTTTCACACAAGCAATCACATAAGTAATTACCATACACACACACACACACACACACACACACTACATGATTCACAAGTCTATTGAATATTAAAAAAATATTGAAAAATGAACCAACAGTCTTGATATATTGATTGCTTCATATTACACAAATGAGTGTCTAGCTATATATAGCCCAGGGCTTCCAGAGCTGACGATTATTCTGCCTTCTGTTGTTTAAGAAGTTGAATGGTTACGGATTCAACCGACGCCATAATTTTTTTCTTAATTACAAGGTAAAGAACTGTGGTTTTAAACTGCATCTGTTTTCAGCTTAATTGAGAAAAGACGAGATGGTTCCCTAAGAGAAGAAAAGAAGAGAAGAAATGGGGCAAGAGAGCTGCCTCGACCTAGCTAGAACAAATTGTGCTAACAGTACTGGAAGTAAAACATGGCACGGGGGTATTGTAATTAACATCTAAAGCACAGTGCCTTGCTCAAGACTGGAAAGAGTTCCTGGACTCAGAAGAGGAAAGGAACACCAAGCATGAGAGGATGGTGACAGATTCGATTCGAGTGAACTTGATACGGCCATTATACTATCTGATATCTTCTTGGGTTTTACATCCAATGATTCAGACATTAACTCCTGGTGCAAGGCAGACAACGGGGTTTTCGCAGGAGAAGGAAGAAGTTGTAAGGGTATTGCTGAAAAATCTCGACCAAATAATGTTGGTTGAGCAAGATCAAGCGGAGGAGGTGCCACGCTTTGGAGCCTTGGCTGATGCTGTGGCTCTGGCACTGGCTCTGGCGCGGGTGCACCAGTGAGCTTCTGAACAAGGTCTCGGAAGTTTATAGGATCCACCTTGTAAACTCTTGGTGGCGTTGGTTGCAATGGTGCTATTGGTTTCTTACATGGTTTCATCTGGGGTTTTCGAATGGATAGATGATAAGATTGTGGCATTTTCAGGCCTTTTGTTTCCTCGGAGTATTGTTTCGAGTACATTGATGAGGATGTCGTTAAAGAAGTAGAAGAATTGTATGCTTCCATGGCTGAGGCTGTGCTAGAAGTATTTGGTGTGCTCGTGCGGGCTTTGAAGAAGATGAGAAATGAGATTTTTTTTTTTTTTTGGTACGGGATGAGAAATGAGATTTGATCAACAAAAGACTACATTATATAATGACGAAGTGAGATAAATGTGTAGACAAATGAGACAAAGAGCAACAACTGATTGCTGAAGCCATTGGTCGGAGAGGCAAAAAAAAATGTATTTGTTTCTTATCAGCCGACGCCAGTGCTGACATCGACTACATTGTCCAACGCTGAATTCTTGACCCTTTTTAATTTATTCATTAAAACTATTTCCCATCAGAACTGCGTGTATTCGTTCTTCCTTGGAATTTCTCTCTTTTTTTGCTCATCTCAGTCTTGATTTTAATAGTCGTTTGTTCTTGTAGGACATAACATAATTTATTCTGATAAATAGAAGATGTGATCTTGGCATAGTATTTCTTTTTTGTTACGGAATGTGAAATAATTTATGTATTTTTTTCTGACCATGAAACAATATGTTTTTGTTCTTCCTTCTTTTTTATCTCCTTTCAAGTTTTATCTGACATTTTTCACCGAAAACTTGACTTGGTCTCACTCATAGCCTACCAAAATATGATCACGTTTTTTGGTGAAGTTAAGATTGTTGGCAAGTTCCAGTCGATCGTCTAACACAACCGACAAATGTATAACAGGAATTAATAAATTATCCGACTGAAAAAGGGATTTTCATAATTGAAGGAAATGCAGAATTTTTTATAAGAAAAATAATAATTAATTAGCCAACCATTGAAGAACGTATACCTAAGACAAGTCCCGAATTGCGAAGCTGGCGACCAGCCGCCTCTGTCGTTGGACTTTGTTGCCTCCTCGCACACCTGGCCTTTGCTCAGAATCTTTGACCAGATTAAAGAACTTGAAAAATTTATATGAAATCTACGCAAGAACTCGTGATTATGATGGTTAATTTATTCTATAATCAAACTCATTATTTATTAATCTTTAGACTGAGAGTCTGTTATATGAATACTTGATTCCATGCATTATTACTATTGAAAGTAATACTTTCTTGTCTTGTCTTCATCTAAGATCTGACCACTCTGCTGGAGAGGGATGGGTGCATTGAACTTGCATCTTTTGTTCATCTATAATATTAATAATATTAAGCTTTTATAGTTTTTTTAATTTATTTTTATACTCTTACATAACCTTTAATTATTGTCTCGAGAAAAAGAAAAGAAAACATATTTTCTTGTATTCTCTGTTTCAAGAATATAAAAATCATTTTAAAATTATCTAGAGATGATTCAATTTAGTTTTCTTCAAACGGAATATGTTTTTTTCATGTAAAGCTGGATTCGAGCAATGTGATGCTAGAAACTCTCTACAGCCATGCAAATTCGCTGTAAAATCAGGTTGTGATGGACAAGTATCAAAAGAATTCAATTTCTTGGACACATGCGTGTGGATGGTGAAGAAAACCCTGGAAAAATGGACTCTTCCAGTGACACGCGGGGAAATGAACCCTTTTTCTTTTACCTTTTTTTTGGGAATTGAGTCGAAACATTTACAAGCACTTTGAGCAAGTGAGCATCCAAGAGAAATGCAAGGTCTAAACGTTAGTTCTAATATACATTAAGTGCAAGGTTTTGACCAAGGATAGCATACACCCCAATATTCGAAGCTTTTGATAATTGGTTTTTCCCCAAAAAGCATTTAAAATGGAGATTTAAAATCCAAAACAGGGGTAAACGCAACCTATTAATAAGATAGGATGCTGCAAGAAATGAATGAGGCCAAAAAGATAGAGGCAACGATGCTTGATGAAGAAAGCTGGGACCCTTTTCAACAGTATATATAATGATGGCACAGTCCAGAAGTATTGAAAATTTTATCTGCAAGCATTTTAAGTTTTGAGAATAACGCAAAGATATCTTATATTTGTTAACAATTAGATATAACCAAATATATTAAACTTATGTACAATTGATTGATGTTTTAATACTAGTCATATATAGTAGTCGGACATGGAGCTTGAATTGAGGGTGGAAACTGATGACATCATAGTTACTCGGGCCCTGTATGATATGTGCTCAAACCCTTTATAGGAAATTAAGGAAGGAAAACATTCAACACAGACGTTATTAGTCTTGCAAAATCTTGAAACAGTTGATGAGGCACAGTTACCCATACGTACGTTCAACAGGTAGCAAAAATTTGAAGCAGCACCGTTTAGCTGCGTGACCTGGTTGGTCACAATATTTGAAGCGCCTTCTTTGATGGGTTTGCTGGCCTAATGAGGAACCTTTCTTTTAATAAATGATAAGCCCAGATTGAGAGCTTCGGTTGTTCTAACGAGATGGATACTTTTGATTTCCATGACGGTAGTTATTGGATTATCTTCAGAAATTTGCATTGTTTCAGCATTGAAGTTGCCTGCTATAACAGCCCCATCATGTTTTGCCTCTTCCTTCTCCAAAACATTATCGATCGTAATCTATAAACTTGCCATGCAGCTCGTGTAGCAGCTGAGATCTCTTTGTATTTAGGGTCTAGCCATTCAATGTGTAAATAACAAGAGCAAACTCATTCATGAAAGAGTTAACAGTGGCAAGCCCATCCAATGTTGTCTTTATCAGTTGAAAGGTACTCAGAGATTGATCTAGTTCCTTGACTGAAATTGGATAAACGATCTTTGAGAGTCATGACTCGAGAGCGTGATCTATTTGCATAAAGAATGATCTTTATGCAAACCCTCGAGAGCGTGATCTATTTGCATAAAGAAGAGTGATCTTTATGCAAACAGCCCAAACATTAGTTGGGCCACCCTAAATGGCTGGAGTTTCGACCCTTGACCCAACTTGACACCTCGCCTTAATTTTATGCTCAGCATGCAACTGGATGTATTTTTCCTGAGTTTCAGAATGTAAGCACATAAACTCTCCGCATATAATTTTTTTTATATGCACACAATTTTTTCTATAAAAAGCAACACCAAGTTCTAACTTTTCATCAATGGTTCCATGGTATAGCAACCACAACTTGATACAATAATCAAACGCCATCATGGTTTGCTAGTAGTTTTTTCTATATGAAAAGCATTGACTAGCTTAATTTTTTTTTTAATGAATTGATAGACAGTTCCATAATTAATGGCGAGCATTAACTTATTTAACAGTGACATATTTTTTTTATTGTATTTTTTAAAATCTTTAGAAATCTCAAGTATCTGGAATTATATAGGGTTTATAAGAATATTAAAAAAAATAACTTTGAGTAACTACTTTAAGGATAGATTGTTGTAAAATACAAATCCTTCAGGTATTTGGCCTTAAACCACAAGTAAAAAATCTCTTAAATTTTTTCAGGAGAAAGAGACTATAAATGACAAAATATTAATTTGTCCTTGGAATAATATCACATATACTATTTCAAGATAATTTTAAAAATTTATTCAATTAAATCCCTACTTAATCTTTTCAAGTTTAAAATTATAATTTTCTATATAAATTACACTTTAGTCCTTAATTTCTAAAATATTTTTACAATCAAGTTTCACTTGGTTAATCATTTCTTTTTAATTCCTAACCAATGATTCTTATATGGATAATCCATTAAGTTCCCTAATAAGGTAACACATATATAAATCACAGTCCTAAATAAATAAGATTAAATTAATTAATTCAATAATTAATTGATTTATATTTAAAGATAAAGTATAATGTTTAGCAATCTATCATGATGCTTCAAATATTAGAAAAGTCATAAGTAATTTGACTTAACTCTATAATGACCAGTTTCTTAATGTAATTATTATTGTTTTATCAACTTTGACTTAACTCTATAATGACCAGTTTCTCAATGTAATTATTATTGTTTTATCAATAATATTTCAATTTAGATATTCTAACATGGATATATCTATTATATCAAATCATGTTCATTTTTAACATCAAAGTCATTGAATCTTTAAAGAAGATTTAAAACTCTTATAAAATATCATTTAACCTTGTGCAAAGATTTACAATCAATATTATTTCATAATAGATAAAATGTTTTTTCTAATCCATTAAGAGTGATGAGTCACTCTTAATTACTTAAATATCTTTATATAATTCATATTATACCTAATATATTCTCATTTGTTACCCTTAATTAGAACAATGTGTACTAGAATCAAAACATAACACTTTCTCATTTAAGATAACTGAGTAATCTCAAATGTAAAGATCACTTTCACAACCATCATATAAACTTTTTTATAGACACAAGTGATTTCTCCATATAAAATTTTCACATGAGTCAGTTTAGTATACATGTCATCTAACAAGTAATTATATATTAGTTCTAAGTATTTCTTATATCTCAACTTATAAGAACAATTGTTTCCTTTCTCATATATATACTAGTCTTACTAGCTCTAATTAATGTTCAGCTCTAAGAGAGCATTGGCCAAAAACATCTAGGAATGATGTTATCATGCAATGAAAATCTTATAATTATAACAACTTTATAATTTCTTTTGCAAAGCACTTTTTTTTCAAGCACTTTATATTTACCCTAGATTTATTAATCAAATATTAGATTCATTAATCAAATATTGATAAAAAAAAATAAAGATAAATAAATATTTATTAATAAATTAATTATATTTATATAAATAAAGTCAATGTCACGTGTAACCAACTAATTAACTACAAGACATATATAGTAATATATTTTTCATGAAAAAATTCAAAGATTGAGAGTATAAAAACAAGTCATTTGAATAAAAAAGGAGGTCTGACCACACAAAGCCATAAGCAAACCAAGTTACGCAGAAACAAACATAACATACAAATTGTAGGCCAAATCTAGGCCTCTTATGCCATACAAGTTTTAGGTCATGCTCAAAGCCATTTTATCAAAATACAAAGTTGAAATTTTGCTAGGAGAGTATTCTATAGTGATTACTTCGTATAGAGTTAAAATTTTATAGTAATTAAAGATTAAAAGATTTTCTGATAATGCTTAAAAAGTATTGTTCAAGATTTGTTATATTTTCATAGTTAGTATTTTATTTAAAAATATATTATTTTTTCATATTTATCTAAAATATTTTT